TTCAGCCGCCCCCGCCCTTCCCCCGCCTACCCCATGCGCATCTTGGAGCCGGACTGGCCGCCGCCACCAGGCAACGGGGGCCGCGGCGAGAGGCGGCCCAGGTGCAGCTGCTTCTCCAGGGCCGACATGACGGCGAGGGACACACCGGGAATACCGGGATACGCCGGGATGCGCCGGAACCCCCCGAGCCGCCCCCGCCCGCCCCGCCCCGCCCCGCCGGAAGCGGCCTCACTCGACAGAGCCGCCGCGTGGCACCAAGGGAAAAGTGGCATCATGGGAGAAGTAGTCCGAGGCTCCGCTGCTCTCTATGGGGCGCGGTGCATGACGGGAGTTGTAGTCTACCGCCATGGCGCCGGTTGTGGGGTGGGATGCAGCACAGGGTTGGGGAACGAACGGCTGGCCCAGGCCCCGGAGGTGTGGAGCGGGATGGAAGGATGGAAGGGTTCTGGGATGTGACAGGGGAGGCACGGGAGCGCGGGGTTGCCGGGCGGAATGGGGGCCCCGTGGCACTATGAGAAATGTAGTCCACAGCTCCGCCGTGCTCTAAGGGGCGCGGTGCATGACGGGAGCTGTAGTTCCCCGGGGCGCGGCTGCAGCGCTCGGCGGGCGGGGCAGATATTTAATCCCGTGGTGTTCTGGGCAGTGTAGTCCCTGGCTGTGCTGGTCTCTATGGGGAGCGGTGCATGACGGGAGCTGTAGTCCCCCGGCGGGGCGGCCGTTGCCGGGCGGGAGGCGCGGGCGGGATGCGGCGGAGGGAAGGTGTGGAAGGGGATGCGATGAGATGGGATGGGATGGGCGGAGGGAAGGTTTGGAGGGATCTCGGGGGGATGGAACGGCGGCGGGATGGCGCGGAAAGCGGCACGGGAGCTCGGGTCGCCGCTGACGCCGCCTGTGCCCGCAGGTCCCGGCGCAGCCCCCGCCACAACCAGCCTCCCGCCGCTCGTCCAGGGCCCGCCGCGCTGCTTCCTCCGCTGCACCGTGCCCAGGGTGGTCTGGACGTCCCCGAAACCGCCCGTCCTCGTCCGCCTGAGGTGGTGGGGGGAGACCTCCGGCGGCACCTTGTTCCAGCCCGCCTCCCGTCCCGGGCATCCCGCCGGGAGAACCACCGCCCGCTTCCCGGTGCGCTGCGGGCCCCGGCAGCTCGCCGCCTACCTGGCAGGTAGGGACAGTTCGCCTGGGAGACCCGCAAAATCCCAGGAGTTTGTTAGGAGTGGGTTAGAACAAGAGGACGTAGGCTTAGGCTGCACCATGGGAGGGTCAGGTTGGACATCAGAAGGAATTTCCTCGTGGAAACGGTTGTTAAAACATTGGAAGAAACTGCCTAGGGAGGTGGTGGAGCCCCATCTCAGGAGGTGTTCAAGGAACGACTGGACCTAGTAGCCAGTGCTCTGCTTTGGTTCACAAGGTGGGGATCGGTCACAGGGTGGACTCGAGAGTCTCCAGAGGTCTTTTCCAACCCCAGCTGTTCTGGGATTCTGTGGGACTTGGTGTTATACATAAAGGCATTTCAGTGTCTAAAGGCATGGAAAACAGAAAGGTACTCAGATGAGCTTGTAATGTTATTAAGGTGTTTAATTTCCTGCATATCTTTCACTAAATTAATGCAAGCCTGATGTCCATAATCTGTCCGCAAAACCTGTGCTGGATGTTGCTACTCATGGAATCTCAAACTGGTTTGGATTGGGAGGGACCTTAAAGATCATCCAGGTCCACCTCTTGCTGTAGATTAGACGGTGTTGCTCCAAGTCCCATCCAGCCTGGCCTTGGACAATTTCAGGAATGGGGCAGCCACAGCTTCTCTGGGCAGCCTGTGCCAGTGCCTCACCACCCTCACAGGGAAGAATTCCTTCCCAGCATCCCTTCTAACCCTGCCCTCTGGCAGCAGGAAGCCATTCCCATTTGTTATGTCATTCCTTTTCTGGTAATCTTGTGTTTATTTATCGTAATTTATTACCAGTAATAATATCTGTAGTGACTCTTCTTTCCCTGATGTCTCATTATCGTAATTTCTGTGTAAAACGTAACCATTTTAACCAAAAAGTGTTAATTGTGACCGTGAGACTGACCTGAAACTGTTCCTGATTTTCACAGATATGGGTGTGCTTGTCCTGGAGGTCCTGACCAAGCTTGACCACCTCCCCATTGGCAGAGTGCAGATCACCAAACTGTCCCAGCTCTCTCCGAGCCATCCCATCAAAGGGTCTTTCCCCTTGGTGTCACCAACATCTGCTAAACTTGGAGAGCTGCAGGTGGTCCTGATGTCTTTGCTCTTTATTATAAATTATGTGTATAATCAGGTGGCAGGATCAAGCTGTACATGGCACACTGCAGACCTGCTCTCTGTCCAAGGCATTTCTGAGCTAAGGTAGCAAATGGAAAATACATATTGGTGGTTTTGACTCTATTTTGTTTAGAGGGGTGTGTTGTACTTCAGCTTGATAAAGAAAATGTCGTCTGTACACTGAGAGTGAATTTTAACAGTGGATTTAAAAATGGACCCTCAGTTCTAATGCTTCAGTGGGCTGGAATTGTAAGAGATTTTGAAACCTTGAATGAGGAAAGTTCTGTCCTGCAGCCCTGGCTCTGGAGAATTGATGCTGAAAGATAATTGTCTGAGACTGGAAAACATGGAGTGGGAAACAAGTAGTTGTAAATCAGTCAGAGTCGTGCAAAATGTAAATATTCCTTTATGTGGAAGAGCCACAATTTTTCATGGCACGACAAGTAAAGTTGAATACAGTACGTGCTGCACTTGGCTAAGGAAAGAACAAAGTCATATTTTCACCCTCTGTCTTTCAGGTCTCGCTGGCTCTGGAACCTCTGCCAGAAGTGTACGACACCAGCACCACCACAGAGGGAAGTTCAGACCCTGCTCCTGCTCAGGGAAGCAGCAAGTCCCAGCTTACTGCTCCGTCCCAGCAGCCCAGGCACACACAGGTGGCTGTTGCTGACTCAGAGTTTGTTGACAACAGCAAAGCCACAAGCCCCAGGTACTCTTTTTTTTTTTTTTTTTTTTTTTTTTTTGGTCCCATTACAAAATTCTGGTTTATTTTGCAGTTCACACACATTTTTTTAGTAATAACTATACATTTGTGAGCTATGGAGTGCTTGATAATTTTGTACACGTTATGTTACATGAAATCCTGACTGTTGAAGGTTTCTGAGCTTACAGGGGCAGTTTGCCATTCAGCAGAAATTTGCATCCTATGTTGACTCAGTTCAAGCCGTGCTGGTTCACACAAGAGGTGCAGCAAATCACAGAATGGTTTGGGCTGGGAGGGACCTTAAAGCTCATCCAGTTCCACCCCCTGCCATGGGCAGGGACACCTTCCACTAAACCAGGTTGTTCCAAGCCCTGTCCAGCCTGACCTTGAACACTTCCAGGGATGGGGCAGCCACAGCTTCTCTGGGCAACCTGTATCAGGGCCTCCCCATCCTCACAGGGAGGAATTACCTCCTCATATCTAATCTAAACCTACTCTCCGTCAGTTTGAATCTATTCCCCTTTGTCCTGTCACTACATGCTCTCATGAAAAGATCTTTTAAAAAGATGTCTTTTACTTGCAGCTTGAGTTGGGCCTCTCTTATGGTCTAAGTGAGTAAGGAGTCACGAACATAACGTCACATTTCTTTTTGGAGCATTTGAAGAATTTAGAATCTCTTTACCCACCCCTTTGAGTTGTTACTGAAATAACATTTCATTTTTCACTAGAGGAAAGGACCATTTGCTCTTCCAAGAGAACTCTGAAAACATGAAGGATGCTTCTCCTGCTTCTTATCACCCTTCGAGTTTACCAGATGAGCCTTGGAAAAGAAATCCTTCAAATCCTTCCCTGTTGTTTCCCACCAGCACCAACACTGGAATGAACACACGGATGCTCTCCACGCACAGCCCAGCCACAAAAGACCTGCTGTCAGGTTTGTGTGCAACCGGCATCATCTTTGATGCTCACAACAAACAGCTCTTGACAGTATTTCCAGTGCTTCTCCAGAGCTGAGATTTTCTGAAGGCAAAGGGATCCTTCACACACTTTCACTATGTTATATCAAAGATAATTTTTTTTTTTTTTTACTTCAATTAAAAACTGCTGATTTAGTCTTGTTGGAAGGTGACTGGAGTATCCAGCTTGGGGAAAACATGGTGGCCCAGCAGGATTCCTGAGCCTGGAGGGGTGAAAGGAAAAGGAAGCTCACCTTCACAGGTTCTTTAGTTTTGGAGGTGTCTTTTGAAGTGACCATCAGAGCTGCTGCTCCTGTTGAGGGTGGTCTTGGGAGGGTTCCAATTCTGTTGGCATTTTCAGGTGGAAAACTATTTCCATTCTTTTTAGACTGCAGGCTGCCTGGACTGGATTGAAATGAGCGTCAGAGTAGGACACATTTCCATATGTGCTGTGTTTTGTGCTTCATATTCACAGAAAAGACCTAAAATTAGACATTGTAAGGTGACAAACTACTCCTCCCTAAATTAGTTTGGCTTCTGTATCCTAATAATGCCTTTCCACTGCCCGACTTGGTGTGTGTGGGTGAGTTGTTTTTGCGGCTCTGAGTGGGAAACTGATGCAGGATCACTCTCACTGAGCTGCTTTTCAGTGTATCAGACATGTTTAGTCCCCAGGGTGTTAAGATCTTTTTATAACAGCAGAAAACAGAAGTTTCTTGACTGTCACCGACGCATTTATTGCCTTTACGTGTTGCTTTCAAATCTCATTTGACCACTGAAATATAAATCCCTCTGCTTGTTTCCCAGCTCTCCTGGATCAGGGCAGGAAGCTCCGGGATGCCATGGTTGTCTCTGCACTGAAATCCAGCCCTGACGTGGAGATTGAGCTGAATAAAGTGGCTCCATTTACAGAGAGAGAGGATTTTAAAGCGTCAACAAAGTGAGCTTGGAATGGGGGGAAGTGAGATTTAAGTTCCAGACCATACATTTTAGGCCTTATCAGGAAAACTTGAAATACTCCTATTCGTGGGATGTGTTTTAGGATTCTCATTCAAATGGGAAGTTACATTCTACCTGTGAATAAAGCCTACATTTTGTGAATTTATTTTAATCTTCAAGTAGTAAGCCTTGATTTTAATTCTGTTTTGTAGTATATTTGTATTTAGTTGATAAGGAAATATTGATAAGAAATATTAAATAGTGATAAGGAAATATTATTGATGAGGAAATATTAAATGTTGGTAAAGAATAAGATTAGTGTAAGGTG